CCCAAGTCAATGTGGTGGCCCGGGTGGTCCAGGCCCATTGTCCTCTGCCTGTTGGCTCACCTCAGTCTCCCAGTGCGAGGAACCAACATCTGTCTCCTCCTGCAACTGGGGCCTAACTGAGCTCCTGACTCCAGCCTTTATACTTCTGGCCCCACCCCTCTATTTCTAGGGGGTGGGGCAAGACTGATCTGGCTACACTCACTAGGATACTTGCACTGGCATAGCAAAGAACAGAAAGTTTTGAGTGACTTGCCCAGTGAGTCAGTGGATGAACCAAGAATACAGGCAGTCCCCGGGTTACGTATAAGATAGGGACTGTAGGTTTGTTCTTAAGTTGAATTTGTATGTAAGTCGGAACTGGTACATATTGTAGGGGAAACTCTAGCCAAACATTTCTCCAGAGCTCAGTTTTATTCTCCCACACCTCACTTCCCTCAGTCCTTTATTCTCAAGCTGAGGTGTCTGCTGAGAAAAGCCGCTCCGCGTCTCCCTGGTCTGCTGGGGGAGGGGGGGCGCTAGCTTCACGTCTCCCTGGTCTGCTGGGGGGAAGCAGCTAGTGCGGGGTTGCCTCACCCCGTTTGTAAGGAGGGATCCGATGTAAGTCGGATCCATGTAACCCGGGGACTGCCTGTAGAAACCTAGGAATTTTAAATCCCATTATTCTGTTTTTTGTTTAGGTCCTGATTCAGCAAAGCACTTCAGCAAGCATTGAAATTTAAACACAAAAATCCATATTCAGTAAAATACTTAAGAACATGCTTAATTGAATCTCCTTTAAATTCCAATAAACTTAAGCATGTGCTTAGGTACATTGTTGAATCGGGATGTATTTAATCATATACTTTGCTGAATCCAGGCCGAAATGATGACTGGGATTAATTGGAAGGAACACCTACCTTTGTTGTTTGTTCATATCGATGTGTTTTTGAAATGTCAATTTCATTAGTTTCAATAATTAAAAACAGAACGCAATGCCATCACAATGCCATTGTTTTTTTCCTCTTACCCTGAACAACTCCAGCAGTGTGTACCCTTGTTGTCCTGCACCAAATGCAATTTGTGTAGTAATTTTTATCTTGTGCTTTGGTGTGTACGTGTATGTTCAAGGAGTCACTAGAAGATAAAAGGAATGGAGAATATAACTTTTAATAATGAATTATATTTGTTAAGGTTTCTAAAATATTGCACATTAATGTAAATAAGAAATCAAAGCACAAGTCACCTTGGTTTCCTAAGCAAAATATATAAAGACTATCATAGTAGAGGGTACCTTGCAGAATTAGCTAGTTAATGTTTCTGAAGTGGTTTGAAATAAAGGAGGAGGTTTTCAAAGGCCCAAATGGCAATTAAGTGCCTGAATCTACATGATGGGCTGGGAAATACGCTAATAGCCATTTACGTCTTTGAAAGTGTCCTCTGAATAGACCAGTATTTTTTTTAACTTATGCAAGTGTGAAATATGGTCCCACATTTCTCAAGGCCAGAAAAGATCATTATGATCGTTAGGTCTGACCTGCTGCATAATATTGGCCATAGATTTTTGCCTAGCAATTCCTGAATGTAATGCTAATAAGTACAATAGTATCATAGGGCTGGAAGAGACCGCACGAGATCGAGTCCAGACACCTGCCCAAAGCAGGACCAATCCCAGCTAAATCATCCCAGCCAGGGCTTTGTCAAGCCAGGACTTAAAAACATTTAGGGATGGAGATTCCACCACTTCCTTAGGTCACCCATTCCAGTACTTCACCACCCTCCTAGGGAAATAGTTTTTCCTAATATCCATCATAGGCCTCCCCCACTGTAATTTGAGACCATTGTTCCTTGTTCTGCCATCCATCACTACTGAGAACAGCCTCTCTCCATCCTCTTTGGAACCTCCCTTCAGGAAGCTAAAGGCTGCTATCAAACCCCCCTCACTCTTCTCTTCTGTAGACTAAATAAGCCCAAATCCCTCAACCACTTCTCGTAGTTCATGTGCTTCAGCCCTCTAATCATTTTGGTTGTCCTCCACTAGACCCTCTCCAATGCATCCACATCCTTTCTGTAATGGGGGGCCCAGAACTGGATGCAGTACTCCAGATGTGGCCACAGCAGTGCAGTGTAAAGGGGAATACCGTAGTTTAGCGAATATAACCCGCACCCGTGTATAACATACACCCATGTATAACCCGTGGTTTTTCTTTTTTGTGTTAAAAAAAAAACCCTTAGATTACCCACGGACATGTATAGCCTGCAGGTCCTGCATTCATCCACTCACTGCATTCACCGCACTCACGCCCAGGCCTCACACAGCTGCAGCCAGGCACAACCCACCCTCCTCCGGGTGGGAGAGCAGAGAGCACAGCGTAGGCAAGCTGGCCGGCCTGCAGGAGGGGAGCCTGTGCCCCGGGCAGCCGCAGCCAGGCACAACCCACACTCCTCCGGGCGGGGGAGCTGCTTGTGAGTAAAAATAAACTTGTATACCCCACAGAAGTGTATACCACATGGGGGGCGGGATTTGTAAAAACGTGTATAACCTGCGGGGTATATACGCTAATTTATGGCAATCACTTCTGTAGAACTGCTGGCAATGCCCCTTCTAATGCAACCTAATATGCCATTTAGCCGTCTTGGCTACAAGGGCACACTGTTGACTCATATCCAGCTTCTTATCCACTGTAATCCCCAGGGCCTTTTTTGCAGAACTGCTACTTAGTCATTCAGTCCCCAGCCTGTAACAATGTTTGGGATTCTTCCGTCCCAAGTGCAGGACTCTACACTTGTCCTTGTTGAACCTCATCAGATTTCTTTTGGTCCAATCCTTTATTCTGTCTAGGTCAAACTGGACCTTACCCCTGCCCTCCAACATATCTACCTCTCCCCCTAGCTTAGTGTCATCTGCTAACTTGCTGAGGGTGCAATCCATCCCCTCATCCAGATTATTAATAAAGATGTTGAATAAAACTGGCCCCAGAACCGATCCTTGGGGCACTCCGCTAGAAACTGACTGCCAAGTATCAAGGCCCTAAAACTTGCCGACTGCTGTGTATGGGTGAGCCTCTGCCTTGTGTAGGGTTGTCAGCACCCTGGGATTGGCCTGGAGTTTCCAAGAATTAAAAATTAACTTTTATCTGAAGATTATGTCATGTGATGACAACCTCCAGAATTACTTGGTGTCACATGGAACCCAAGGACAGTTAGTGAGGCTTTGCTTGTGGGGGAGAAGGCTGCTTGCAGGATTAGAGCCTTTGTTTTTCTTCTGCATTATTTCTCTCTCATTCATGAAGCTAAATTAGGTAGCTGATAGCAAAGATCTCTCAGATATGCAAACTGCCATGCTAGTGTTGTTGTGATCTGTGGAAGAGCTTTTAAACTAACAAGGTGTGGAGGACGAGCAAGAATATTTGTACATTAAAGCAATTAGAAAGGGATGAGCAAAATTATGTTGCTTGAGAGCAGACCTGTACATTTTTCTCCTGTGGTAATTCAGGAAAGAGATGAGTCATAGAAGACTAATAATAGAATGAAGTTTATTCTATTGCCCATGGAGCTGTGTTAAACACACTTGACCAAACTGTTGATCAAACTTTTCATCATCAGTTTTGATATGGGCTTTTCATGTAACTTTTTCTCCTCCCTTCAATAACTAGGGAAAGTATGAAAGTTAATTTGGGCATATTAATGTGTTCAGGTGCACAACCAAAAACTGAATAATTTGCCTGAGGTATGGCCTTAAGAAAGAGAAAATATGCAGGGCTTTTATTTTAAAAATACGTAAAATGTACAGTCTGGTCTTTATTCAGACTCCAGCCCTTGAGTGATATGGGTGTTCTCTTCTGGACAGTGTCATCTAGAGATTCTGATCCACAATCAAGATTTTTAAAAGTGACAGATGATTCCAAGTGCTGCTATTTTTATGTGATCATCTTTGGACATGCCATAAAAGGTCTGTTTCAGAGAGTGGGTGCACAGCATTTTCTGAAAATCAGGTCTCTTTAAGTGTGCCAAATTGGCATGTCAACATCCCAAGTTATTTTTTAAAACCTTGGTCCAAGAAAGTCGTTTGGAAATTATCATAGTTAACTACTGATATGACTTAAGTTTTATGCATTTTACCTTTATTCAATATACACAATGATTTGTTTTCCTCACATTCAGAAATAGTGATACTCTGTGATCTACCATGTTCCTCCTACAAGTTGAAAATTATCTGCATTTTTTTCCCCAAAATGCATAGTTGTTTCAAACGTAAACGCACATCTGGAAATCAGAGGGGTAGGGAATTTATGGGGTCTCAACAATTTGAAACACATAATGTTGTTTACATGGTGCTAAACTTTTTAAAGCAGTGTTTTCATTTTCTGAACAAAGCAGGCAATTCTGCAACTAGCTTTCCCTTCTGAATGGGTGCTCTTTGTTGCAGGGTGCACTCGTTCCCTTTTTAAAAGTGTAGGCAACTAATCGGCAGCAACCAGCCACATAGCTGGAGTGTTTTCCATTCTAGGCAATATTATCCTAATTTGATGCACACATGGGTGCTTCACACAATCTGCAAATTCATCGCTGGCATCTTGCATTAGTCATCTGACAGATTGCCAAGCATTTCATATTCCTTTCATGTGACTTCTTACAAAACACACGCGCGCGCATAGACACACACACACGAATCAGGCAGTAGCCAGTTTGGTGCTGTTTACAACAGCTGTATATAGAAACCTCCACTTATTCATAATTATCCTTTGCTTTAAGATGCAAAAGTACTCGCTTGTGGCTTGTATCTTCCAGCTCTTTTCTGAAATAACAGTATTAAGCAACAGCCTGCAGTGAAAGCCAGAGTCAATGAAAAATGTAATGCTGTTTTTGCATTGTTTTAGGTTTTAATATTTATACTGTTAATTAAGCATAATTTTACCCCCATTGTGCCCCATTTACATCTTTTCCTGCATCTACTCTACATCAAAAATGCTCAGTCTCCTTACTATGCCTATTTTTTTTTATCTCTTTGTTCCACTTTCTAGTAACGGCACAGCTAACAAGATGAATGGAGCTTTGGATCACTCAGACCAACCAGACCCAGATGCCATTAAGATGTTTGTTGGACAGATCCCACGTTCATGGTCGGAAAAAGAACTAAAAGAACTTTTTGAGCCTTATGGAGCTGTCTACCAGATTAACGTTCTCCGAGACAGGAGTCAGAACCCACCCCAAAGCAAAGGTACGGTAGTAGGATTGGCTTTGTTTACTTTTTATTTTAAAATTCTTGTGACTTTGGGATTTTGGCAGGGATGTCTGGTTTTCAAGCATATGCTATTGAGCTAGTCAGAGACCTAAGAGATGAGCATTTCTGAATACCTATAGATTACTGGCTACCTTCTCTTCAAAAATTGCAGTTTAAATACCTGTTATCTTGAAGAGGCCATTCCAACTGTGCAAAAAATAACAAAAGAATGCAGCCCTCCTGTAAATTATTATTGCCAAAGGACAAGGAAACCTGAGCGGTTAGTTTCCTTGGATTAGCTCATGAAGAATATAATGTTCCACTTCCTTCCACTTACTCTCTCAGCACCGCAGGTGGGAATAATTTGAGGGTTTATGGACGAGAGAGCACAGCACTGGGTTCTTACTACATCACCTCCCTGGAGACAATAAAAGAAGTCCCGCCTGATTTCCAGATTTCTGATTTCTCTCCTGAGGTCAGATTAGGGACTGGCTCTTTGGCTGCTACTTACCCAAAAGATAGCTTCCCTTTGTCTTCATTTTTGATGTACATGTAATAATATTTATCCTTAACTATATTTCTCTGAGTAGATATATGAATGTAGGTAGTTATCGCTGGATACATGTGTGTGTATGTGTGTGTGTGGGGGGGTGTTAAAATATAGAATGTAAATATTTTGTGTATCTCTGTATCACAGAACATTTTTTTTCAAATAATATGCTCTTTGTTTAATATTTTTCTGATCTTCTCCAGAATGTGTGTGCTAAATATTTATTAGTGTTACAAATAATGAGCTTTCATGGGCAACACCCACTTCCTCAGATGCGCTCTGCTCATCTTAGGAAGTGGGTGTTGCCCACAAAAGCTCATGATACTATATATATATTTGTGTTTGTCTCTAAGGGTACGTCTAAACTACATGCCTCCATCGACGGAGGCATGTAGATTTGTTTATTCGAAAAAGGGAAATGAAGCCGCAATTAAAATAATCGAAAATAATCGCAGCTTCATTCAAATTTAAATGGCTGCCCCGCTCTGCCGACAAACAGCAGATCAGCTGTTTGTCGGCAGATCGGGGCAGTCTGGCTGCGCCGCGGTCACAAGGAAGCCTTTGTTGGTCAGCTGTTTGTCGGCAGAGCGGGGCAGCCATTTAAATTTGAATGAAGCTGCGATTATTTTAATCGCAGCTTCATTTCCCTTTACCGATCTGTCTAATCTACATGCCTCCATCGACGGAGGCATGTAATCTAGACACACCCTAAGGGGCCATAGGACTACTTGTTTTTTTAAAGTTACAGACTAACACAACTACCCTTCTGAAAGACATAATGAGCCCTACTCTTCAGGTTTTGGATCCCTGCAGATGGGCAGACATAATGAGCGCTACTCTTCAGGTTTTGGATCCCTGCAGATGGGCACCCATGCCTGTTCCTGAGAAAACTTGATATTCTCTTCATCCTTAGCCTCTCCTGACCACGTCTTTAAAACGTACACACTGTGGAGAATGTCAGAAAGATGTTATGGGTCAGCAGCTGATTCACAATCCCGAGCAACAGTCTGTAAAGTTTCCCATTCAGCAGAGGTGATCACTGTCCTCTGAGTCAGGATCCAAAAATTTTGGATAGCCCCGTGTCTTCTGGCCTTGTAGCAAGTTGATCTGTCTGCACTGGGCCAGGATTGTCTCTCCTCTCCTGTGGCTGTGATATTGGTAGTTGTAACAGAGTCAGCTCTCTTTGGCCTTTTTCCTTGCTGCTCCCCACCCTGATAACCCAGCAGGATACCTTAATATTTTCCCTTGAATTTTTTCTGTAGTGCCACTTGTGCTTTTGCAGATTCCCTACATAGATGACATTTGCTCACCAGGCATCGTGTAGGCATCTAGCAAGCATGCGTGGCATACAATTTAGGTAACTAATAACATTCAAGTTCTAGCATTGAAGCTGCATCTTTGGTGCCCCTAAAACAGAAGGCATTTTCTTGTTGTAGCATGGGTGCCCTTTTCCCACCATAGGCTCTGCATATGCCCTAAAGAAACAGAAGGGGATTTATCTTAGTGCACAGCAAAGTTTTCTCACTATGGATCTTTGTCTTTAATGCTGGATAGAAGACTGTATTAAAAGGCCAGCCAACTGGATTTACTACGGCCCATGTTGCTATGGATGAGCAAACTCCTGCTTAGTTTAAACCAACAGAATGCTGAATTTTGAGGCTCGCTTCTTTTAAAGCGCTGATTCCTGACCCACTGAAATGCTTTCCCACGAAGCAGTACATGAAGTGAGGATGGCATTCAGATGAAATAGGAGAAGCCCATTTCTTTGATGTTTCCTATTATTCAATACCAGTTTGTCAGACAAGTTGAAAGTATAAAGGTTAAGCTTCGTAGACCAATTCTCAAAACTTTATTAGTTCCCTCCACCCAATCTCTTATCTAGAATGCTGGCCTTTCTTTTGGCGTGTGTTCTCAGCCAAGGGAACAGGAGAATTAATTGAGTGAGTTTAGTCCCAGAAAAAGCCAGACAGGCTTGCAGACTTAGATTCTGGTGATAACTGCAGCAAGCTGTCCCCCCGGTGAGCCTTTCCACCTTCGGGGTGCAGAGATATGGCCCTGTGCCCATACACTTCTTGCTTTGCTGGGACTGCCTGTGAGGATGCTTGCTGTAGCACCTCTCCCATTTCTGGTGGGCACCTCTCCCCTATGACAAGACCTAGACTTTCATAACCCAGTCTTACAAGAGTTTAGAAAATACACATTATAACTGAGGGGGAAAAAAACCCTTTTACTAAAAGCTGTTTCTAATGTTCTTAATGTCAAAAACACACAGGAAACACTAGGTTATTAAACACCATTTTAGCAGCAGGGACAGACTTTATAATTGATTGGTAATTCTGAGGGATGCACTAAATCGGTGTCTACAGACTACTCAGCCACTCATACCAATTCTTATTTGAGAATAAGTTGGAATAATGGTTGCTGGCTATCCTGAATCTCTTGAGTTTTATTGGCTCACATGTCTTCTAAGTGTCGCTTGCGATGGCAATAGAGCTATTCCTTGTTTTGCATTGCAAGGTCATGGCTTTAGGTCACGTACAACAGCATCATGACATGGCAAGATCAAGACATTGCTTCTTTACCTTCTTCAGGATGTGAATTGCAAAAGTGCAAATGCTAGTTGGCACGACTTCCTGATTTTAAACACTCTGAATCTAAATGTGGAATAGTGTTTGATTGTAGAAAGCCTTCCCTACTACTAAACTACAGCCCTGTATTTCTGCTAGTTTGGCCAAAGAGAATTCCCTGGTTTGGTCTAGAATCTCACTGATGAGCTCTTTGTCAGGCTGAAGTCTGAGTCTTTTACAACTGTCAAAAACAACCAAAGGATGATTCATTCTCCTCTGCTGTCATTAAGACGGCCTTCTGTACCCTTTGCTAGGAATGTCCTAGTTCTTGCATCTCCTAGCTTTATTTTCCACTTATATTCCAAATAACTGAAGTTGGAAGAGGAGACAGATAGAAAGCAACACTCTTCTCACTTTAGAGAAGTACCTGTTTAGAGAAGTACTTGTATCAAGCACAGTACCCCAAGGGTCGGTTCTGGGGCTGGTTTTGTTCCACATCTTTATTAATGACCTGGATAAGGGGATGGATTGCACCCTCAGCATGTTTGCAGATAACACTAAGCTAGGGGGAGAGGTAGACATATTGGAGGGCAGGGATACGGTCCAGAATGACCTAAACAAACTGGAGGTTTGGGCCAAAAGAAATCTGATGAGGTTCAACAAGAACAAGTACAGAGTCCTGCACTTGAGATGGAAGAATCCCAAGCATTGTTACAGGCTGGGGACCGACTGGCTAAGCAGCAGTTCAGCAGAACAGGATCTCGGAATTACAGTGGATGAGAAGATGGATATGAGTCAACAGCGCACCCTTGTAGCCAAGGGTACGGCTACACTACCTTGTTAGTTCGAGCTAGGTATGGTAATGAGGGCAAGAGGAGTTGCAAATGAAGCCCGGGATTTAAATATCCCGGGCTTCATTTGCATGTTCCCGGGCGCCGCCATTTTTAAATCCCCCTTAGTCCAAACTCCGTGCCCGTGGTTACATGTGGCACAGAGTAGGTAGTTCGAATTAAAGATCCTAATTCGAACTACTGTTATTCCTCGTGGAATGAATCCCAGGCTTCATTTGCAATTCCTCTTGCCCTCATTACCCTACCCAGCTCAAACTAACGAGCTAGTGTAGCTGTACTCCAAGAAGGCTAATGGCATATTGCGGTGCATTAGTAGAAACATAGCCAGCAGGTTTAGGGAAGTGATTATTCCCCTTTATTAGGTACTGGTGAGGCCACATCTGGAGTCTTGTGTCCAATTCTGCCCCCTGCCCTCCGTTACAGAAAGGATGTGGATGCATTGAAGAAAGTCCAGCAGAAGACAACAAAAATGATTAGGGGGCTGGAGCATATGATTTACGAGGAGAGGCTGAGGGATTTGGGCTTATGTAGTCTACAGAACAGAAGAGTGAGGGGGGATTTCATAGCAGCCTTCAACTACCTGAAGGAGGATTCCAGAGAGGATGGAGAGCGGCTATTCTCAGTGGTGACAGATGACAGAAGAAGTGATGATCTCAAGTTACAGTGGGGGAGGTCTAGATTGGATATTAGGAAAAACTATTTCACTAGGAGGGTGGTGAAGTATTGGAATGAGTTACGTAAGGAGGTGATGGAATCTCCATCCCTAGAGGTTTTTAAGTCTCAGCTTGACAAAGCCCTGGCTGGGATAATTTAGTTGGGGTTCATCCTGTTTGGGGCAGGGGGTTGGTCTCGATGACCTCCTGACATCTCCTCCAGCCACAAGATTCTATGACTTGGGCTCAGAATTTACTTAGAACTCTCCAGGCTGTATCCACCTTTGCTAAGGAGTGGGATTATCTGGAAAGCAGAGAGGTCGCCTTGTGGTAAGTAAATCTGTGTTACCCATGTAACTTTGTGGCCGGGACCCTG